CCGATATTCCGGCAGGGAGGGTCACTGCCTCGCTCCCTGCCTCTTCCCCAGGGAGGAGCAGGGCTGCTGGCTACTCCTTGGCTGCACCACGCTGCTTCTCTGGACGCACAACAGACTTTCGGAACCCTCTACCCTTCCTCCTCATCCCAGCCGTCGTCTGAGCCCGCATCTTTAACCTGCTTATTCCACCCGATGAAAAAAGTCAGCTCCTATTTCCCATTTCTCAGGCAACTCCATTTGTATCCCAGCACTCGCCTCTCTCCTGGGCTTTTCCTAATCTGCACAGCCCAGAAAATTGGCCAAAGTGGTTAAAGGTCCCAAAAGGACGATGCTGGATGTCACTCCAGGGTACCAAAATACCAATTTGGCAGCCATGCACCCAACACCCTGGGCTTGGAGCCCAAGTTTCCGATCTCTGCTCTCTGAACATCCCTGCTCGACACGCAGGGGTAGCTGAAGTTATCTGTGGTGGGTTTCAAAAGGCAAATGAGCTGCTCTCGGTTCAGAAGGATCTCCCTAAACCTCGGCCACCCTTTCGTGGGCTTTCAAAACCGTGATGGCTAGGAATATTATCTTGACTTTAAGTGCAGCGCTAGGTTCTGCACGTCTCACCCAGCAAGGATGAGAATAGCTCCGAGAGGACCCCAAAATGGATGCAGGCAGAGCCGATGGCTGGGATGTGCTGGTCAAGCCCTCCTCAACCCTCTCGCTTCTACAGCCAGATGGAGAAACCATGGTGATTCAGGCAAAGACCGGGGACCGTGAGGGCACTCGGAGGACTCGGTCTGTGCTCAGCTGTGCCGGTCACGTGCCGGCAGCCGCTCGGCAATGGAGAAGCTGCAAGTCAGGTTCGAGCCGAGTTCACCCCGTATCTCTACAGAGGACGAGCAAATCATCTCCACATGGGCAAAAGGAGAGTGTGGAGGAGAGGGGGAAGGCTGCCAGCGCAAGGCTGCGGTTCAGATCCCTCTTGACAGCTCCCCGGCAGCCCCCACATCGCCTGTCATTCCACAAAACAAACTTCAAAGTAAACAAGGCGCCCAGGACCCGGCCGTTGCAGCCACTCTATCATCGTTCAGGAGTATTTTTCCTTCCTCCCCCCGCTTCTTCTGAGCCATTGCATTTACACGAGCTGCCCGGAGCTGGATTTACAGGGCAGGTGCCTGAGCAAAGCACAGGAGAGCTGGCTGGGCCCCAGGCAAAAGGGGAAGAGGAGAGTTTCACAAAAGCCTTCAGATTGTGGTTTTATATGATAGGGACTGCAGAACAACATCCATCTTCAGGCTTAACATTTCATCTCTAGATCAACAGTCCGTTCCTTCCCCCACGTTCAGCTGCAGCTGCTGGCTTATCTCTCCATTAAAGCATTTTCCTCTTATTGCGCAGTTTCACATGAGAAGGAATAAATGCCAGATGGGTCTCCCCTCCAGGTCACCACGCTGCAAGCCCTGGTCTACGCCGCAGCCCAGGGCGACACTGGATTGTGCAGTCTGGGATTCATCGCTGGCCAAAACCACGAACTTTGGAAAGTCAAGGCCAAGAATGAATACTCTGGGGGACAAGATTTCCAAACAGGAGGACTGAGAGTTTGCCTCCCTGGAAATTCCCATGCTGGAAGCACAAAGGTGCTGTGCGGAGATGCCTTCAAAAGTGCCTGAAGCACCAACTTTTGAAAGCTTTTAAGGAGCTGCAGGCCCTAAGGGGTGTTTTTGAAGCTGGCCGAGATACTTTGGATCATCACAGAAGTGGGATGGAGCAGACTGTGCCAGGGGTCTGCAGCCCTGCAGCTGCAGCTGCCTGCAGCACGGCGCTAGGAAAAACAGCATGGCCATGCTACCCTGCCCAAAATTCAATAGCAAAAAAGCAATGTTGGAGGCTGAGGTCTTTCCAGGTGGAAATGCCGTCATTGGCCTCGGGGTCAGGCACCTGACTGCCTGGAGGAGGAGATGGTGCTCCTTACAGACTGGTTTTGCAAACGCGTTTTTATCTGGTTACTCTTAACCACAGTGCTCAAACCCACTCCAGCACCTGGCTCCTGTCTACCTGCACAGCAGCCGAAGCCAAGACCTTACGGCCGTCCACCTCCTTTGCTTCAAAGCGTCCTGGGACCCTCACCCTTTGCCGGGATGGTGTGGGTGCCGCCTTGCTCATGCAGCCTGTCCTCCCCTTCCACGTCAAGCTGTGGCTGCACCTGCCCAGCTCCTTGTCCCTGCCTCTCCCAGCCTCCATGGGGAAGTGGGCAAGCCCTGGTATTTTTATTACCATTCCCATCGCTGCCAAGCGCTTGCGTCAGTGGCCGGGAGGAGGCTGCGCTCTCCTTTATGAAGCACAGGGAAGATAAGATTGGACCATTAAGTCTTTAGAGGATGCTGCCAAACTTCAGGGAATTGATGGAGCATCTTCCCGGCATCCTTGGATGTATGCGTGTCACCAGCTCTTCCCAGCGGCACCAGCCTCGGGAAGTCACAGCCAGACACGGGCTTTCCGGGCAGCAGCACTGTTTCCCCCCTAATATTTCAGTGGAATTCTTGGCACGGGAGGGATGAACTGGGAGGGAGCGTGTGGAAGCAGTTTGTGTTGTGCCCACAGGAGATGCTTATTCGGCAGAAGAGGAGAACTGAGGAAGCATCACCGTTGGCATGAGCCACCGACTGAGCCCAGACCGTCTTCTCGGTGCCTGGTGCCATGGCATTAATGGCATTGCCAGCAGCTGCGGTGACCAGCAGCGATGGCAGGGAGCTGCTGAGCTCCGAGGAGCTCCCTATCCCGGGGAGGGAGAAGCTCACGGCGTTTTCCGATGTATCTGAAGTTTGCTGGAGTGTCACTGTGGTTATTTAGCTCTCTTGCCAGAGGCAAAAGGAAAAGGAGCAGCCTTTGAGCCATCCCTTGCCTTCGAGCCATCCCCTGCCCTGCTGCAAGGTGGATGGAGCCAGCAACCAGCGTGGAAGCAGCTCCATTTTTTTACAGCCATGATCAAAGCGCTCCGTGCCGAGAGATAACCTCTAGCAGGATCGACCCTGCCCCGGCTCTATGGAGCGATGCCACTTGCTTGGTGCATCCAGACAGGAGGCCACGGTGCTGGTTCATCATTCGCAGTCCTGCTCAGAGGGGCAGATCCTGCACTCCCTTTGGGCTCTTCCAGCTTATCGCTTGTTCCTGAGATGCTGAAGGAAAGGGGGTGGCCAGCAGACGGGCTATCACCGGTCCGGCTCAGAGCTGTCAGGGTCAGGGATCAGCCTTAGGGGATACGAGTGGCTTCTTGTGCCACATCACCCCCCTAAAAAATGCCACGTGGGGCTCACTGTGTCTCCCAGGGGAAGGCAGAATTGGGAACACAAGGCTGTAATTAAAGGGCAGCCCCTTTCCCTGTCCTCCCAGACTCATTTCCAGTGACTGTTCTGCTTCAAAACACTTCCAGACTGCAAAAAATGGGGACGCACAGGCTCCCTGGGCTTCCCGATGCCCCTTGGAAAAGGACATCACCAGCGTTTGAAGGAAAGCAAAGGGTGAAGGCTCCAGTTTTCAATCGGAGAGGTTCAGAGTGAAGGGGAAAGGATTTGCCTGTGGCCACAGAGCCAGGCAGGGGCAGAGAGAGGAGATTTTTCCATCCCATGTTCACCTCCCAATGCTAACAGAAGCACCTGAGCTGCTTTGTTAATAAAAGTGCATTTATGACCACTAAAGGCAAAAAAACCCTTCACTGCTTTAGTGCTGGGGCAAGGTGCGACCACGCCACCAGCTCGGGCGCTGCCGAAATTCAGGGAGGTATCTCCAGTGCTGTGGGAGATGCTGCTCTTTGAGTTTTGCAGACAAGGCTGAGTTTGGGATAAACCTAAAAACCTGATTTTTCCCAGGATTTCACACACACCAATGGCTATATTTTATCAAATCACGCAGCCCAGAGCGATACAGAGGGCAGCTGCTCCCCAGCTGTCCTACAGCCCCTCCAGGTACCTGCCACGCTTTCATTTTAGGGATGTCTCCTTCCATATCGCACCACCGCAAGCCAGCTTTCCACTTACAATATGCCTTCAGCCCCTCCAGCTCTGTTGGCCGCTTCCCTCTGTTCAGCTCTGTCTGGATTCACTAACACTCAAAACACCTCATCTGATACCCAATTAAACTTAAACAACAAGCAGAGGAGCGCGACAGCCCCGTCTTCTCCTGGAAGCCCTAGCAAGGTGTTCAAAAGCAAATGAAGTGGAACTAGATGATGGTTGTAGGTCCCTTCCAGCTGAAATATTCTATTCTATTCTGTTCTGTTCTGTTCTGTTCTGTTCCTGTTCCATTCTATTCCCATTCCATTCCATTCCATTCCATTCTAAATATTTGGTGGTGTTGACCCTCCTGAAGGCACAGGATTGCCACCCTGAGCAGAGCAGAGCCCAGCACCCTGGCCGTGGCAAAGACAGGCTCAGCCACGCGGCATAACCACAGCCATGGGCTCCCTTGCACCAAAGAGCACTTGCTAGCAGCTCCCAGCATCATGGTTAGGGGACAGCGTGCCCGCTCCTGTCCTTGTCTGATCTGTTCTTCATCCCATGAGTAGGAACTTCGCTGCAAAGCAAAGCTCCTCAGGTTAAATCTGCTGGCCTGCACATCCCAGAAGGACAAGGCATGGAGCTGGGGGTTGTCATCATCTCCTGGGCAATTCTCATTTCTTGAAAAAGCATCCCAACAGCCAACAGGTCATCCTTTCTGCCTCTTCAACCAACAGCTCATCCCTTCTTCCTCTTCATCCCTGCCATGTTGCCACATTAAATCAAAGCTAAACACTCCTGTCCCTCTATTCGGACAGCATCTCTTTGCAGGACACCTCCGTGGTCCTTATCATCTCACCTAGTCCTCGCCAGCCCACATGACACCGACACCACGGTGCCGTTTCCCAACCCACCCTTCCAGAAGCCCACCTCCTGATTGAAACCACCCTGCCTCCAACGCAATCAAAACAGAGCCGAGAGGGAAGGAAAAATCAGAGAAAATAACCGGAGGGCACTTACTTCTCATAGTCGTGCTTGCAGTAGAGCTGCCGGTTGCGACAGTAGCAGGTCCCAGAGAGCGGCTGCAGGCAGACGGCACATTTCACGCAGCCTTCGTGCCAGGAACGCTCATTGACTCGCAAAAGGAACCGGTCGGAGATGGGGGTGTCGCAGCCGGCGCACACCTCCCGCATTTTGGAGTCTGAACCTGGGTAGCAGGGAAAAGATGGCGTGAGAAGGAGTTTTCCCTTGCTGGGGGGGGGGGATCATGTCCTGCAGTAATAGTGTCTGCTTTTTTGGGGGGGAGGGATGCTTAGCCTTGCATAACTCCTTACAATTATCTACCACTGTTTTTTGCTTTTTGTTCTTTAAAGCCACATGGTGTTACTGTAGGAGAGGGAGAAGGGAAGCTCGGCATGGAGTTTTCTGTGACAACCTTGAAAATAAATATCAAAGTTGGGTCTGTGAAAGCAGCAGGTTCTGGGTTTCGCTGCAGGTGGTAAATTCCTGGTGAACCCCAAGCCTGCAGCTCTGGCACTGTATAAATCACAGAGGACGTGGAGAACACACATTTAGGAACCAGAGAGCAAATGTATGTGTGTCTTGACAGGAGGCTGTGGGTGCCGAGCTTGTTGGAAACCTTGGTCCAGGTCAGAGACAGACCTGCGTCTGAATTTCGTCCAGTTTCACGCCAGATTTGGTGCTATGAGCTGCTTAAAAAGTCTCCAGAGCTTTTCTTTTTTTTTCCTCCTGAGTGTTATCAACATGTAAATCTATGGCCGCTCTTCAAACGCTTTGTCATGATAACTTCAAGGTAAAGGAGTCAGTAATAAATACATTATCTGGTGCACTGGGTCTGGGTTGCAGGCTGAGCCAGGCAGCGGCACCCTCTCCAATGTCCACAACCTCCACCCCACCAAGCTCTTTGGGTTTTACGAGCACTTATCTCTGTCCTCTCCAGCTTCTCAATGCTTTTATCTTCCTGTAAGCCTGTAGGTCCTGGGGTAACACATGCCCAAGCCCCGTCGAAGGCTCGGAGAGATGATAGCATCCCATGGATGAAGCTTACGGCTCTTTTAAAAGGCAGCGAGCTGCCGAGGGCAACCAAGGTCTTCTGCTGCACCTTGGAGGAACGGGGGTTTGAGGGGAAACACTAAGTCCAGCCCTATTTTGGGCACCATCCCAGGGCAAGGAGTCCAAGCCAACAAGTAGCCATGGCAAATGGCAGGAGACAGATTTCGGTAGAGACCCGTGTGCCTCTGCGCAAGGCTGGGAGACGCAGAGGAGCCCTGACACAGCAGCATCTCCAGCAAAAGGGGATTTTTCTGCTTCTCCAGGAACATGCAGAGACTTTCCCAGCCCTGCAGATCTTATTTCGCAGGCTCTGGGAAGCAGCCCTTACACCTGACCACAGTCCTCTGCTGATCATCCTGGCCAGGACCCTGAATCAGCCCGTCAGCAACTTGATTTCTGGCTCCTTGGACCCAGCAGGCTCCAATTGGTGGTAGGGAGATGGAGGAATGGAGCATGGACCAGGCAGGACCGCCACGGTGGAGGCAAAATGCGGGCAGTCAGAAAGTATCCACCAGCAGGAACACTTTTTCTGTCCAATTTTAGCTACAGGTGCTTTCCCAAAGTCCTGAAACCATTTGAAACCATGGCAAACACTCTCTGCCTTGAAGGGTGCTGCTGTTGTTACACCAACACAGGAGGGACCGTTTGCAGGGAGTAAATTTGGCTAATTTGGGCTTTCTGTGCAGCCAAAAATGGGGGCGTCTCATGCGAAAGCAGCTTCTGCCCCACTTCATTGCGATGCTTGGCTTTGGGTCCTGCATCTCCAGCATCCCAGTCGGCATCGCAGCCAGCTGAGCCTGCAGCCACGTGCCTGGGCAATGCCGGACGTTGCGGCAAGCTGAGTCCCGGCACAGCTCATTAATTAAATGCTGGGACCTGGAAATCGCGTGGCAGCATCACCTGGAGGTGACCAGACCCTGAGAGCCCTCCTGCAGATTGGGATCCAGCAGATCAGAGCGGAAATGAGGATTTTTAGCCCAAGAAGCGGAAAAATGAATGTCTGCCGTGCTGCTGGTGGTGCTGGAGCAGCAGCACAGGAGCTATAATGGTGCAGCTCTGTAATGCCAGGGGGGCAGCGTGGGTGGCCAAGGCAATAAGCAACCACATCCCAGGGGCTGTGGGCACGTGCCGAGGTTCTCCGTGGATATTTATCCCACGTTGAGCCTCCACTTCTCACTTTTTCCTTTGTTATTAACTTCTGGAGTCAAATATTTTCACCCTTCTTGACTTTGACCCCATGGGCTGCATGTCACCGCGGGACCAGCCAAACCTCCAGTGGGTTAGAGGCGTCTGGGACTGAAAAACTCCAACTCCTCTTTAATTTGGGGGGGAGAACCAGGGAATAACCTAATAGGAAATTAGTCTGAGAGCAGCTAGTTAAATCGCCAGGGAGCTCCGGGAATGTGGGATCAGTCCAGAAGGGAGAGACACAAAACTTCAGCCCCAGGGATGTTTGTCCCTCCGTCTCACTCAGCGAGCAGGCAGGAGGATGCCAGGGATTCGGGGTGGTGGGAAGCAGCAGAATCCTGCCTGCTGCCTGCCTGCGTTGTGGTCCGGGACGTACGGGCAGGGCCCAGAGCAGAGGTTACTGCCCAGCAATAAGTTAGAGCTGCATCTTGCTCAGCACAAGGCCACGAACACGGTGATGCCGTAACACTATGGGAGACGAGCGAGTGATACTGAGCTCCAGGGGGAAGAGGGGATGTGAAAAATCTAGGGAAAACTCAGCTTGCCTGAATCCCCCCACAGCCAGTCCGGGAGAAAGGGGCAAAACTGAAAGTAAAGGAGATTTCTGCCTTACGCTGCCCTAAAGACAATCAGACTGATAAAAACGCAAGTTTGGACCCGCAAATATGTTAACGAAGAAGAATCCCAATCCACCGCGTTGTGGCTCTCTGAGACGGGGAAAAGGGACACTGAGGGGGACATGACCTGGCGAGCCCAGCATCCACACGGAGAGGAGGCAGCTTGGGTGCCTCATCTTGGTATTATCCCGAATTAACCCCCCCACCTCCAGGCCCTCCCACGGCACGTGAACCCCCCACCGGGTCTCGGGGGCAGATATCCTCGCTGTAATTGAAAATTCGGGTCAGCGAAGCCAGCTATCGCGCGTGGCTGGGATGATCGAGGGCCACGCGACCGCAGCCTGGCCCTGCACGGGATGCTCCCTAAAATCAGCAAAGGACCGGGATAAACCAAGGCTCCGAAGGGGCTTATCCAGGAGGTCGGGGCAGACGAGGGATGGATGCTTGTGGCGTTCCCGTCCCTTCTGGGCTCCGTGCCTTGTGCCTTGCTACACGCCGGTACTGTCTGCTGTTACGGACAACCTCAGCCCACGGAGCCGCAGCTGCTTTGGGGTTGCAAGATGGCATTTAGCGGCGTGCCAACATCTTGCCGTGGTTTTTGCTGCCTCCAAATTGGCAAACCACAAAGCCAGGCTGAGCGAGGTGGGGGGTGCTCCCTCTCCCCTGGTCACCCCGACAATCCGGAGGAGGAAGGATTCTCCTTCCCGAGCGGGGAATAAACACGGCAGAGAAGCTGGGAACGCCGCTGATGCCAGATGGGATCATACGGGTTGGGGGAAAACGGGCAGCACGGGCAGGGCCGGCTGGTCCCGCCGCAACTTGGGGACACGCCGAGACCCCCCGGAACAGCCCAGGGAGGATGAGGATGGAGCAGCCAGCCACGGATGCTGCCTTAGCAGCCCGGGCTGGGGGGGGCTGAGGGTCTCCCCGGTGCCCACTCCCCGGTGCACGGTACCCGTTCCCGGTCTCCCCGCACTCACCAAAGCCCAGGACCGGCGTTGCCTGCTGCAGGCAGGACGGAGCCTCTTCGGTCTTCATGCCGGCGGCCAGCGCGGGGGCTGCGGGTGGGGAGG